CTATATCACTATGTACACGTAGGAGGGCCGTCTCAGTAGAGTGTCCCATGCGGTAGGCCGATTGCATGTTGTCATGGAGACTGTTTGCATGGAGATGAACCTCTAAACGCCGGGACACAACCTTCTCCAAGATCTTAGACAGAAAAGGCAGATTTGAAACTGGGCGGTAGTTTTTCAACTCCTCCTTGTCCATTCCAGGCTTTTTTTAACAATGGTCTGACGTGTGCCTTCTTGAAACATAATGGAACCCTTGGCTCAACCAATGATTTATTCATGATTGCGATAATCAAAGGAAGCAGTGAATCACGTATGCCTCTCAGATGGTTTTAATAATTTATTCATGTATGTTACCTGTGTGTGAAGGCGTGCTTGCACTATTGCCGTTGTCTTTTTTATGGAGCTCGTTTCAACCCGATGCTGCCACCAAATAGTTTATCCATGAATTTTTCATGAATATTTATCTTATTTTCATCTGCATTAAATGCTCACTGTATGAACAAATCATATCCACAGTGCCAGAAACAATCACGAAGTCTTGTGATAATGTTACGCCGTTATGCTAATATTTGTCAATAGACACATTGCTATAGGTAGTCTGTTTCAAATTAAAACGTGAAAATCTTAAAATCAATCGAACAAACGTCTAATGAAGTTCTGTCGGTTTATATTGTTTCGACGGCAATAGACAAAATACACAGGGAAATCGAAACTTTTCAGTTCTTTCAGCTAAATATATACAGATTAAACGGGTATTTTGTGTCCTTTTCTAACAATTACGAACGCAACTAGCTTACATAATATAAATTCCGTACACAAGGTTATTCAAGTAAAAATGACGTACGTCACACTTATATATAGGGAACGTAAGCATTTAGCAACTGGTTTGTTTCCCATACCACAGCTTAGATCATACAAGTCAGATTAATGTTTTCCACCACTAGGTGGCGGTATGATAGCTAGTGAGGTCATGTCCGGGATGATGTCGGCTTTAAGTTTAGCTTCCTCTTCCCAAAGTTCTTTCACTTCCGGTCAAACGCACAAAGAGTGTGAAGCCACAACGTTGTGTATATCCATGTGCTCTGGATCATACAATCTGGGTCCGAAAGGTTCAGACGGGTGTCAGCCCTGTACGTGTCATACCGGTAAGTTGATAATTACATACGGGTTTAAATTGCACAACCAGCGCGATACATATGCATTACATTTCTATTAAGTAAACGCCAATATAGAAGATATAGAAGTTGTGTCCTCTGTTTTGGGAAACAAAAGCGACCAAAATGATGTTTTGGTAATATCTGAAATCGTTATATTTCTCATTCCTTACATATTTTCCCGTTTCCTAACGCTTACATGTCAAGACCTCACATTTGGCGTTGACGCTAATCGTCCCAAGGTTTCGAGTCATGTCCCCTAACTGAGACAAACTAAGGCCTGGATTTGTATCTACATCTCTTGATGTTGAACTTTGAAAAGGGAGCAGTAAGTACTAACCGATTACTCGTTGATATAGTGACAAGATTACGACATTTTAGTGAGATTTCACTTTAACGTGGCCTTTAGGTGACCGTAGATGTCGCGAGGACGAATAACCCAAAGGCAGCCAAATTGTCACCTTCATCAAACGAAAAGGGCTTTAATGACTATATCATTCTAGTCATCGTCCCATAACACATAAACATTTCACTGATTGGGATATATATGAACACGTATACAGTATACTATATAAATTAACCTTAAGAAACGCATCGAAATGCGGTAAGTTGATGAAATCCTAAAATTGAAAGACTTGTTTTCTTATTACTTCATTGTTGATTAATAACCAATGTGTTGCCACTGCTTGACTATTTTATATAAACCTGACAATGATACGGGATCCATATGGAGCAGACGCAGGACTGAATAACAAGTATAATCTATCAATAATACGCACGAAACAATTGCTAATTGAAAGGGATTATGTTGTATTTGGAGCAAGGGGGCGTTTTACCTTGTAGTTAGCCATAAAAGTAACAATTCGGCACTATTTACCGTTTCATTTTTACAACATCCATGCATTCTGTTGGATCATCTGGATCTGCAGGTGGTCTATCTTCGTCATCGTCGTCGTCGTCATCCTTCTCTTCCTCGTCTTCTGGAGGTTATTATGGAAGCGGAAGTGGTGGAGGCGGCGGAAGTGGAAGTATCTCAGGAGGTACTTCCGGTACCGGAACGTTCACCCCTGTTTCAGGAGGGTCAAATTTTGTTTATCAACCGGTCACATCAACAGGTATGTCATATCATGTATACAATACAACGCATGCGTTTATTCTTATCCTTCCTAATCCAGTGTATTCTTATATTATTAGGAGAAAGTTCTCATTATCTGCAGTGAATTGTTCGTGCTATAGCGTATTAAAGTTCGAAACTTTTAGCATATTATCATACGGAACATTATCGCTTGTGTTAAATGGACTCTAATGTTGTGTCACATGATCCGAGTTTTGGTCAAGTTAAAATTGCTTGAAATGAGACAGTACATAGCGCTGCTGAAGCATTTCACAACATGCAACCTGAAGCTATTAAACTGCCCTAATATGATTTAAAAGTAAACTTTTTGTTTTTAAATTGTTGTATAAATATTTTTGCATCTTTTGATTTTTTCGATATTTTAGTTATCTATTTTAGATATATTCCTTTTCCTAACGTCCTCTATCTCACAACATATATAACAACATAGTATTTGTATTATTTACGCTGATTATATTCCTGTGGTCATCAGTCAAGATTAACTGGTCAAAGGCCACTGGAATAGCGATGGAGGGAGGGGTATATCTACATGTATATGGGCCTGCGCTCTCATTATACTTAATTTGAAAAAAAGAACTACAAACGTCGTAGCCACGTGAACGTTAAAGATATGATTTATTAATTTCTAAAACATATGTACGATGTCCGACATAATTCACTGTTCAGCGGCCTCGTCCTCAGGTGGTACACACACAACAACAGGTAGTATTTGAGGTTGTGTGCTCGTCCTATATGACATGCGCCTCCACGTGCTCCGTGGGTTACACTTGCGGCAGTGACGGATGCCCGACGTGTGACTGTATTCACCCCTCCGGTAAGTCGAGGCCTGAAATATCCTTTGATACTAGACGACAATCTGAACAGAGGAAATATTTATATATTTTTTTTATTTTTTTTTTAATCAATGCTCGTCCAGTCAATCAGGCATTTGGAGAGAAACATGACGGATATGTTTCATTGCAATAAAAATGACAAATATTCCATTAGTTATTTTAAAATTCAGATATATTAAAATTTGATAATAAAAATTATAAAAATTGTCAAAGCACAAATCATGTTTTTTATTTTTTGGTGGGTTAGAAACTCAACCTAGCCGAGCATATGAATGTAAGAGTTATTTCCCATATCATTTTCTCTTTCTTTCTCAGAAATTATGGTATTAACAATCATATTTTGTCAAAACAAATTTAAATAAAAGTTTTTGTATCTAAATTTTCGGTATTCAATGTATAAAAAAGTATTTGAATCTTTGCAAGTTTGTGCACATAAAAGGTCTTTTGATTTCTTTATTAAGATAATTGACAATATATATATGTCTTAAGATTTGTAAGCAATCTAAATTTAGTTTCCTTTTACTAAAAATTACTGTTAAACGGGTTCCAGCTGGTTTCGAAATAAACAATTTCACATGAAAGAACACAAGAGTTAATAGAAACATTTTTCTTTTGAGTTGTTGGCATAGCAACTCAGCAGGTGACGATACAGCGCCCTCTGTACTGCGAAGCTGCGTTTTATTGCCAAAGTCATTGTGCGACGGGATATCAATGTGGGCAAGATGGTTGTCCGACATGTCACTGTCTCCACCCTGTACATCAAAGTAAGCCAATCAGATAATGTCTTACTTACCATAGAACCAATCAGAATCCAACTCTCAATGAATGAGCGATACATTTTTGACTGAATCCATTGATATTAACCACACAGTTGAAGATTTTAGTAAAATATGTTAAAGTAGTAAACAGTAAACGAACAGATTACTTGAACATACAGTGAATAAATAGTTCTGCTTTATAAGCTATCCAAGTCGAGCCATTACGGGAAGTGCCTCACCAGGAGACGATCTTCATCACCGGAAACACGGGAACGGAATGTCACGAATGTGTACAACAGCCCGCGCCGGTATATATAACGGAGCCTGCCACGGAGTGTCAATACAACTGTGGAGAATTACCCCAATACGTCATAGAGGTAAGCCAAGCGTGGGAATAATATTGTTATACAATATGAATTTGTATCAATTAATGTTCTCTGGTGATATATAGTGAAATCAATTCAATTTCCGTAGATATGCTTTTTATCCCTGAAAAAACACTACAATGATATATCAAAATTATTCCTTTGTCTTCACTACAGCTACAAGTACCGCTAAAAATATGGCTTTCACAATAAGCAAACGTTTATGACAAGTACACACACTTTACGAAATTGCAATACGTTTGAATGGATAGAGCACAAAGCGTCAGGCTGACTGCATGCATGTACTGTCCCATAATGTAATTCGTGCCGTATCCGTGAATTACAATTGCACTGTTACTTATATCATATTTAATGCCGATTACCCGGTTAAACTGAGGTACGTTTACAACTATCCTAATCTTTATGTAGCATTTTGTGTTTCAATTCGGTTCAGTTAATTATTTCCATTGTAATTTCTTCTCAATAACAGAGACCGAAACCGAAGCCACAATATCAGACCGTAGTAGTACCACAACCGGAAGTATGTCACGAATGCGAAACTAACAACTATCAACCGGTCTATGTTGCCAAGCCTCAACCTCAGACAGTTGTTGTACATCTACCAGAAGTATGTCACGAATGCGAAACTAACACTTATAAGCCAGTGCATATTGCAAAACCACAACCACAAACTAAACCAATATATGTACAAAGACCGATCTATACACAGACAGTGGCAGCCAAGCCTAAACCAATAAATGTACAAAGACCGATCTATACACAGACAGTGGCAGCCAAACCTAAACCAGTGTACAGTGGCAGCCAAACCTAAACCAGTGTACGTTACCCAAGGGCGTCCACAGATAGTCACAAATACAGGTTTGTCTTATATCATATTTTCACAAAGTGAAAGCTGGTACATTATTCTTGCATTTTTAAGAGTCTGTATAAAGCATGAAATGTCGGAGTTACGGAAAGGATATCAAATATATTTTACGTTTAACATTTTAAATGAAATGTATGTACATGTAACTTAACAAGCTTCGAATTAATGCTTCTGTCTTAGTACATCAATTGAGAAAACAAATGTGGTAATAGGACTTGTGTAAACCATTGAGAATTACGGATGTTTTGGCGATTTAACATGCTAACAAGCGTAGAAACATGATCCTCAATTTATATCCATAATTGAGATATTGAAAAACACATAAAAAAAGTTTTATTCCATTTACATAATTTGTGTTACAGGCCATTCAAGCGGAGGCATTATGTTGGGAGTTTTAACAAGTGGTAGTTCTTCCGGCGGAGGTGGTGGAGGAAGTTACAGTGGCGGAAATGGAGGCGGAGGGATACACACGAGTATCGCCAGTAATGGTGGAGTGGACGGGGCTGGTGGAGGAGGCTATTACTCCAGCGGCAGCAGTGGAGGGATGGCGGAAGGTACATTTAGATGCTATTGAACAAAATAATTTGAGAGTCTACAACATATTTACCAAAGTTATATTCTGTTATGAACGTTAGAGCGGATCATATTGATTACATTAACTTGGACATGATCTTTACATATTCATTGTATATACTTGTTGGTGTTAAGAAAACATGCTGCATGTTGTTGTATAATTATATATAAAAACATTTCCTTTTAAATATGTACCCCTAGTCGCTGCACCTTTCCTCAGAGTCCCATGTATACAGTGTAGATATAGTGTCTGTCCTTTTTCCTTTCCTTTTGTCCTTTCTTTTTTCTTTCCTTTCTTCCTCTCTGTTATTTCTCCTATTCCACACCTTTAAAATTTGATTCAGCGTTCGTTTTTGTCGACCATTTGTTGGCCATAATAACCTATGCTGTGTTGATGGGCCGTTAAGCATTAATGATAATAATGATAATAATGATATGATTTTAAATATGTTGTTCAATATAAGTGCCATATATGAAAAGGTCAATGGTTCAACTAAATGTCGATTACATTTATATAATTCAATACCGTACGAGGAATACAAAGACGACTTACCCAAATAAAAAGCTGCGATACACAAATTGCTTATGTAGCCAGTGTATTCATACATGTAAGCAATCCTATAGAATAGTACCGTTCATCGTCGTTTAAATAATGGATGATTTCATCTCTGTGTCAACTTACTATTGCTTCAGGTTCGTGCCCGCCGATACCTCATGATTGTGATCCCTCCTGTATTAAATATGACGTACCCCGCTGTCGTCGCTGTCTATGTGAGAACTGTACATATGAACAGTGAAACATACAAACGTGTAATTTAGTATGTATTTATATAGTGTTTCCCGCTGTCGTTGCTGTCTTTGTGAGAGCTGTACGAATCCACATTGAAACAGAGGGACATTTGTTTAGTATATATTTCATTATGTACCCCACTGTCTCCACTGTCTGAGAGAATTGTATGTATCCACATTGAAAAATAGGGACATTTTATTTAGTATATATTTGCATGATATACCTGACTGTCACCTCCGTTTCGTCGGGATGTTTATATAAAAACATATGGACATCAACCTTTGTCCATGAAGTATTAATTGTTCCAATTTCACTTTCTCTTTATTTTGTCAGCGAAGTTGCGCTAAATGATATTTATTCATGAGGCTGAATACAATTTTCGTCACATCATATTCTTATCACATCGAATTGCGACTGCTGCAAGCATCCAGACGTTTCCGTCAAACGTCAAATAACTAAGAGTCCTCGTTTGCCTGTTTCCGGTTTAACGTTACCGTAACAGTCGGCATTATATCTTGTTTCTTGTAATTTGACTTACGCGTACTAAGTGTAATTTTATCTCATTTATTTTTCAGCTCTCCCCCAGTATGGTGGTTCCCGGTATCATGGCTAAACGTGCGATTGGGCACAAATGATACGTATAAAGCCTGTTGTTTTTATATAAAAGAGTGTTTGTATTGTTTTTATTTAAAACAGCGGAACTTCCATAATGCTGATTCCAATCATGGCAAATGGTTTGAACCAAAAATTGAAGTTGTCCATTCAGATGTCGATAATAAAACATTTGCATCTACACATACGTTTTCAGCACTGCAGACTGTGCAAACATTAAAAGCTATACTGATTTTCCCCGTATCAAAACCCAATGCACACACTTCTTTACGTGATTGTTAAGTTTATTTATCTATACATGTATATTAAAATCAAATAATAAAAAAATGTATCAAAATACAATTAATAAAATATACTGGTATCAACACAAACGTTTTCAAAACTGTTGATTGTTCACAAATAGCCGTAAATGTAGATATACAGTTGCACCAAGTTCGATTTCAATTGATTTGGCAATGAAGTTGAAAATGTCTCCGTCAATCCGAGGCCATGATGTCCTTCTGGGTTATCGGACCAAACGAGAAATGCGAACTCTGGTCGGGACTTCATAAGGAACATATGTATCAAGCTTTAAGTGAAGTCGAATGTATAGCTTACTTGAGCAATCATGTGGGCTAACGAAATAAAGGGGTACGGTAGTGATACAGAGATAGTAGCAACGTTTAAGTTTAACTGAATATGGATATTTCAGTTTTAAATTAGGGAGACAGACCCGCCTCTCCGACGTATTGCATACTGTTAATATTTGCAAAGTAATAATTTAGTTTAAATTGTTAATGCAATAATCCCGGTTAATACAAATATTTGGATAGAAAATGTCCGTGATTTGCAAAGGAACAACAAAGGGTAAGACATAAACAACTGAGTATTGATTAACATATGTCCTATAGTATTTTCCTATAGGAAGTACGACATTTAATCCCCCAATAGACATCCGTTTGAAGGTGTGTTACAGAATTTCTGTACGTATCTGTATGTCAGTTTTGTGTGGGTGTTTTTTGGTTACTCAAGCCAGTAATTGTTGTAAACGACACGATAAGGGACGTTGTACCTGTATGTTTGTCCTTCAAACAGACCCGTGTGACTGCTTGCTTAAATTAGACAAATCTTACATTAACAACTACAACGGAAACCCTAATGTTCGACTTGCATTATTTCCTACACAGATATAAATATGTATTTAAATAAAGACTTAAAATATGGACTATCGATTTTTACCACCATGGCAGCGCTATGAAGTCGGTATTAGATGCGCTCTATCACAGTAAGACAAATACACAATATACTCAATGTCAAGCACACGTACAAAAAAGCCACGCATACATTATACACATGGAGGAACGTCCTTAAATAATCTTGGTTGTTCATAAGATATTTAACCCTTAACAAATATACAGACCTACCAAAGTTATTGGTATAATTGATCTGAGATCATGTAATAGGTAAGTTGTGAAGCTTTCTTTTGGTTTTAAAGGGTTTGAGGTAACGCGGATCTATATTTCATGGTTTATACGACGGGGAGATTAATCAACTTCTTTATATAAATACCGCTTTTACCTAGCATAATCTTTACCCATAAACACATTGATCACGTCATGACGCTATACAATACCCAATCTTAACGAAAAGACATGACAATGATAACCTACCTGCAAAAAAACGATATAAGACGTACTGTGCATACATATAGTTTGACCAATGTAAAAACACCACATTTTGAACAAATTATTGCATAATGTTATTCATGGTCTGAATGTGGTGATTTTTACATCGAACAAACTAGCAATGAACTCATAACATACATGACTGTACACAGTCAAACTAAAACAGAGTAGTGTTTATTATGTAGTGTTTCCTTAGGCGGGAGGGTGGATAGCTAAGCCAGTCTCGTATATTGATATTTGAATAGGTATGTACAGTGTCAGTTAATCTAGGCTCTTGTAATTACTGGTCAAATTGGGCCTTTTAACAAGTCAGTAATAGTTGTACGGGGAATTACCATTGAAACGTCCCAAGATGATAATGTATTTCCGCAGTTTTGCTTAATTTCTTTAACTCGTTTTGTTTAGTTTATTTTTCTCAGTGAGTATATTTTATTACCATTTCTATTTGTGTTATATTCCATATTTCTACAGGCTTAACACCTCGGCTAAATGATTTTTGTTTGTTTTGTTTATAATTGCTGTCAAACCACACTATAAACTATAAAATATAGTTGGTGAACCTAAACTCTGGTGTTGTTTTGGGTTTTATGTTAAAAACTTGTACAGTTTGTACAGCCTACTACGCTTCACTCACCCTCTTCACACGGACATTTCATTTTTATTGATTTGTATTGTCTTGTCCTATCACAACAACAAATAACAATTGTATTACAACTCAGGTGACTGTTAAGGCCTATCGGCGTTTTGTTTACAGTTGCTACGATTGAGCATAAAGTCTATTTTTGTGGTGAAATAATTAAATAAACAACCATCCATAGCCGCACTTAGGCAATTGTCCGTTTTTGTAAAACCGGTCGATCCGACGGTCGTGGGTACACTGGTACATTACCTGGTGAGCGCGAATCGAGTAGGTCCCAGGCATGTAAACACCTCGGATTGTGCACCTATATTTACTTAGATTACATGCGTATAATATTATAGTATCATTATAGAATTACACAAGGAGTTACACCTACATATGTCTTTAAATGACCATAGCTGTCAACAGGACGGTTAACACGATGAAATCAAATTAAAATTAATGAAGCACAGCCTTTGTTTGAGTCATAATTGAAATGTGTTACTCAATTGAAACAAAAATGTAGACTACATGCTTAAGATATACTTTATATCAACGTATTCCTGTCACGTATTATTTTGGCTTTCGGTTTGTTTGTCACTACGTAGAACTTAAAATACATAAATCAAGCTTTCAAACGTTTGTGGTCAAAATTGTTCAAAGACGTTGTTAAGGCCGTATTAAGCAGATATCTTTCTTGTCACTTTGTCAAAATCATATTCAAAGTCGATGGGATTCATCAAAACACTTCAAAAGAATGCCATTGTACAATAAACAGTAAAGTTACTTTCGTTTTGTTAGCTATGATTGTTGTTTATTTATAGACTTCTTCCGCTCTGATTACATCAACCGGTTATTCTTTTGTTAGGAACAGAGCGACACGTGAAAACCAGCATATTGTGAGGTATCCATTTGTACAGTGTATACACCAGTGTATAGTGATGTTTGGACGACCGGTACAAATCGCAAAGGATTAACAAAAGTCCAGAACAAAGTCAAGGTAAGATTTGAACAAGACAAGGAGATTAATTCACTATCTGTTCAAGCTATGTAAGACAAATTGAAAATCAGCATTGAGGAAGTAAACTAGCACAGCGATTTACCTTGCGTGTAACCTTATCGTTTAATGTGTAAATTACTGCGTAGCCGGAGTATGTCAAATTTGTGTTTCTGTTTATTTATGTGAAGGTTGATGTCTGTTATATATTATATGTTCATTAGTGTGTGTATTTATGTCTGTTATATGTGTATGGTTTATGTCTGTTATATGTATCTGTCCATTTGTGTATATGTATATGTCTGTTGAAAATGTCTGTCGATTTGTGTGCAGGTTTATGTCTGTTATTTCAGGATTAACTTGAATATATTTTTCATGTTATGGAGCTATAACACAAATAAAACGGAGTGTACTCTAGCGGTTTATGATGAGAGTACACTCCGTTTTTTTGTATGTCTGTTATATGTATCTGTCTATTTGTGTGTAGGTTTATGTCTATTATATGTGGCTGTCCATTTGTGTAGAGGTTTATGTCTGTTATATGTATCTGTCTATTTGTGTGCAGGTTTATGTATGTTATATGTGTCTATCCATTTGTGTGTGTAGGTTTATGTTTGTTATATGTGTCTGTCCATTTGTGTGCAGGTGTTTGTCTGTTATATGTGTCTGTCAATGTTTTTGTAGGTTTATGTATGTTATACGTATCGGTCCATGTGTGTGTAAGGTTATTTATGTTGTATGTGTCTGTCCATTTGTTTTAAGGTCTCAGTATGTTATATTTCTGTCTATTTGTATGTATGTTTATGTATGTTATATGTGTGTGTCCATTTGTGTGTAGGCTGATGTCTGTTAAGTATGTATCTGTCAATGTGTGTGTAGGTTTATATATGTTAAATGTGTCGTTCCATATGTGTGTAGGTTTATGTTTATTATATGAGTGTGACAATTTGTGTGCAGGTTTATGTATGTTATATAGTGGTGGATGTCATGCGGATCTATATCTTAAGGTTTATTTGATACGGCGGTTCATTAACTGCCCAATATATAATCACTTCTTTTAGCGCCAAATTTACCAATAAACAAATTGACCACGTCATGAATTGACCATATACTCAGTCTCAACGAAAATACATGACAATTATCACTTACCTTATAACCATTGTAGTGTATAAGGTTGATTTGTACATTTTAGTTATATCAATGGGGTATCTACCGTTAACATAATCTTCACCATTATTTAAGCATTTATCATACTGTATAAATGTACAGACGAAACTACTGGACATATTTACATCAAGTGTCATATCTTTCCGCATATAACCCGATATTGCCCGTTCCTTCGATACCGGCCAATCCGACGAACGCTTGTTACACCGCCGCCTTTACATAAATTCGAATCCAGCGTCGCGTCCGCCTAGCATTAAATACCTCGGATCTTCTTATACACATGTATCAACTGTACAGATAAGATTGCCTCCATGTGTGTTTTGTATGCGTGTTTGATCCCAAATATCGGTGCAGCAGGTTTATGTTGGTCGCTTTTTTGTTCCCAAGTAGTGGGCACAAATGCAAATCACAAATTTTGCAAAGGGGTATAGCATATGTCGCCTTTTTACGATACATACAGCGGGTAACGGCAGCAGAATTATTTTATCTATCCCAGACATGCAGGGGTGCCCGTCATAATGGAATTGCACAAGGAGTCAAATACACCTGTAAACCGTATACTTCACACACATGGATGTATGTCTTCATCTTGTCGTAGTTGTTAATAGGACGCTTAAATAAATGAGGATAACGTAAAACCAACGAAATACAGCCCTTGTTTGAGTCATAATTGAAATGTGTTATTCAATTGAACAAATGTTGAATATGTGCTTAACATATACATTTTTTACTTATTCCTGTCACGTTTTACTTTCGCTTTCGGTTTGTTTGTCAATTCGTAAAAGAATAAATACATAAATCAAGCTTGCAAAAAAGGCTCAAAATAAATCAAAACAAGACGACCTGAATACGTCGTTTTGGCCGTGTTTTACCACATTTTTCTTGCCAGGTCGTCAAAATCCGATTCGAAGTCGATGTGATTTATCAAAAGAAGTATGCCATGATACAATAAACAGTAATGCTACTTTTGTTCTGTTTGCTATGAATCTGGTGTATTTATAGACCTCTTCCGCTTTGATAACATAATGCAATTGTTTTGTTAGTAACATAGCGTCACCTATCATCTCGCACATTGTGAGATATATATGTGTACAGTATATACAACAGTGTATAATAATGTTTGGAACAAGGATACATATCTTCAATGATTCATAAAAAGTCCAGAACAAAGTCAAGGTAAGATTTGAACAAGACAAGGAGAATAATTCACTGTCTGTTCAAGCAATGTAGGAGTTATCAAACATCCGTAATTACAGCGACTTACGTGTAAATTTATCATTAATTAAGTGTGTAAAAAATGAGGAGCCGGGGTATGTCTGTTATGTGTCTGTTATTTTGTGTGTATGTTTTCGACTGTTATATGTGATAGGTTTGTGTATGTTTTATGCGTTTCTCCAAGTTTGTGTCGTTTTATGTCTGTTGTACTGTATGTCCATTTGTGTGTTTTGTTTTTGCTATTACATGTATCTGTCCATTTGTGTGTAGGTTTGTTTCTGTTATATATGTATGTCCATTTGTGTGTTTTGTTTTTAATGTTATATGTGCCCATTTTTGTTCTGGTTAATGTCTGTTCTATGGGTCTGTCCATTTGTGCGTAGGTTTGTGTCTGTTATATGTGTCTGTACATTTGCGTGTAGGTTTATATCTGTCCAAGTGTCTGTCCATTTTAGTTTGGGTTTATGTAACTCTGTTTTATGTCTGTCTATTTGTTTGTAGTTTTATGTCTGTATAGTGTCTGTCCATTTGTGTGTAGGTTTATGTATGGTATATGTGTCTGTCCATTTGTGTGTAGGTTTATGTATGGTATATGTGTCTGTCCATTTGTGTGTAGGTTTATGTATGTTATATGTGTCTGTACATTTGCGTGTAGGTTTATATCTGTCCAAGTGTCTGTCAATTTTAGTTTGGGTTTATGTAACTCTGTTTTATGTCTGTCTATTTGTTTGTAGTTTTATGTCTGTATAGTGTCTGTCCATTTGTGTGTAGGTTTATGTATGGTATATGTGTCTGTCCATTTGTGTGTAGGTTTATGTATGGTATATGTGTCTGTCCATTTGTGTGTAGGTTTATGTATGTTATATGTGTCTGTACATTTGCGTGTAGGTTTATATCTGTCCAAGTGTCTGTCAATTTTAGTTTGGGTTTATGTAACTCTGTTTTATGTCTGTCTATTTGTTTGTAGTTTTATGTCTGTATAGTGTCTGTCCATTTGTGTGTAGGTTTATGTATGGTATATGTGTCTGTCCATTTGTGTGTAGGTTTATGTATGGTATATGTGTCTGTCCATTTGTGTGTAGGTTTATGTATGTTATATGTGTCTGTACATTTGCGTGTAGGTTTATATCTGTCCAAGTGTCTGTCAATTTTAGTTTGGGTTTATGTAACTCTGTTTTATGTCTGTCTATTTGTTTGTAGTTTTATGTCTGTATAGTGTCTGTCCATTTGTGTGTAGGTTTATGTATGGTATATGTGTCTGTCCATTTGTGTGTAGGTTTATGTATGTTATATGTGTTTATCCATTTGTGTGTAGATTTATGTATGTTATATGTGTCTGTCCATTTGTGTGCAGGTTTAGGTCTGTTATATATATATGTCCATTTGTGTGTAGGTTTATGTCTGTTATATGTATCTGTCACTTTGTGTGTAGGTTTATGTCTGTTATATGTATCTGTCACTTTGTGTGTAGGTTTATGTCTGTTATATGTATCTGTCTATTTGTGTGTAGGTTTACGTCTATTATATGCGTGTCCTTTTGTGTGTAGGTTTTGACTGTTAGATGTGTCTGTCCATTTGTGTGTAGATTTATGTATGTTATATGTATCTGTCCATTTCTGTGTTGGTGTATGTTTGTTATATGCGTCTGTCCATTTGTGTGTATCTGCTATATATCACATTAAGACAATAACAGTATACGCTGTGTCTAGTACATACAAAACGACACGCATACATTATACAGATAGAGGCACGGCCTTAAATTAATTTGGTTGTTAATAGGATATCGAACCCTAGAAAGTTAAACATACCTATCAATCGTTTTGCCAGGGTTGGTCTGAGATCATTTAATATATACGTCGTGCAGGTTTCTGTTTGTGTTTTAGGAGCGGAGGTCACGCGGATATGTATCGTATTGTTTATTTGATAGGGCGATTCCTTAACTTCCCCTCTGTATAATTTCTACTCTTTTAGTGTCAAATTTACCCATAAGCACATTTATCACATCATGAAACTACCAGATACTAAGTCTTAACGAAATTGCACGACAATCATCACCTACTTATAACCAGTGCAGTGTATACTGTTGATTTGTACATTTTAGTTATATCAATGAGTTATCTACTTTTAAGATGATCGGCACAAAATACCTAATCATTTATCAAACTGTAGAAATGTACAGACGATCCTACATAACTGTGTAAGTGGGTATATCACAGCAAGGCACTAAGAAACGATAGGTGATTAGAAGTAGAGAGAAATATAAATATACAAAATATTGCAAAAAGATGCAGCATATTTATTTGTTTTACTTATATAAGGTTGATTCCAATCTCGGTGATGAACGGTTTGAACAAATGTTGTAGATACTAATGTTTTCCCATATCATTTGGGATGAATGTTAAAATTGATAAAAGCTGTTTTATGGTTGTTTCAATATATCTATTTGTCTATATATTTACATTAAAATATAAATAATAAAAAAATATATCTTTATAGACAAACATTTTCAAATCAGTAGCCTGTTGTCTGTTAACTATTAATGTAGCTACATACATTTGTACAAAGTCTGAAGCCAACCACTTTGACCACTCTTGAGAAATCGAAAATATCTCAGTCAATCAGGGGCCCTGAAGGCCATCTTATTTTTTTTGTATCAGTTCGAAACATAGTAACTCTTCGGCGGAGCAACATACGGAACACACGTCAATTAGCTCAGTAGTTCTGAAGAAGTCGAAACATTAATTGTAACCGCATAACGACATATGACAACATATATTTCAATTTTAAAATAGGGAGACATACTATCTATGTTATCCAAACATTGGTATTTACCGGGAATTTTGCATAAACGATTTTAAACTAAACAATTATTTTGCAAATATAAACAGTATGCAATACGTCGGAGAATGTCTAAAAAAAACGTTCTTTTCATGAAAACATTGATTTTTTTTAAAATAGAGAAACAGTTATTGCAAATATGAACCTTTTAAATATTGTGGGTTTAGGGGGCAAACCGTGCCAACCACACATGGTCTTTTGCAATCTGTTTTGTTATTTTACGAGCTGGAAGATCCCTGCATGATATAATAGGTGACATGACTAATTAAACCGAATTCAATTTCAGTATGGAACTTAAGGACAGTTTCCTGTTGGTTGCCGCCATTGATTTCGGAACTACATACAGTGGTTACGCCTACTCCACTCGACATGATTTCGAAACCGATCCCTTGATTATAAATTTAATGACATGGAATGCGGGATCTGGGGGACTCGCGTCTCAAAAAACATCCACCTGTGTTCTATTTAAGCCAGATAAGATATTTCATTCCTTTGGGTATGCTGCTGAAGATTTTTATAATGACCTGGTACTGGATGATGACCAAAAAGGCTGGTATTTCTTTCGCCGCTTCAAAATGGATTTGTACAAAAAGCATGTAGGTTGTCCTTTTTAATCATTTCATCCGCAATCACAGTGTCCCCGTGAAATATATTTTCCACAGTAAACAAGTCTTTAACTTGTAACTATACAGTTTTAGGACCTACGTCTATTTTTTTTATTCCGTGTTGTGGTGTCAAGTTTTAAATTAAAACAACTTCTTCTACCTAACAAAGAGGCCTAATGTGATGTTATTTGGCTGTTGATATGATGGGATGAAGGGCTACTAAGTTTGTTTATATGGATGACCTTCGCGCATATCCAAGGTCACTTTGGTTAGATAGGTTTAAAACCTATAAGTGACTTCTTTTGAATAACAAAAAAGCCAGGCATGTTGAAATTTTGCTGATGATATGATGGGATGAAGGGCTACCAAGTTTGTTCAAATGAATGATTTACATGTACAAAGTCATCGGGTCAAATACATGTTTATGGGGAATCTATCAATTTTTTTCAATATAGAACGGGGCTGTCGTCAGGGGGACCCGATATCTTCATATATTTTCATTTTATGTGCTGAAATTCTATCAATAATTTTGAAAAATAATAAAAATATCAAAGGAGTACTTATCAGGGAAAAGGTTATCCTCTTATCACAATTTGCTGATGACACATCTGTTATTCTAGACGGTTCAAACAAGTCTTTAGATGAAACATTAAAAGCTCTTAACTACTTTGCTATTATTTCTGGACTAAAAATGAACTTCTCCAAGACCCAAGTAGTATGGATTGGCAGCAAAAAATACAGTGAAAACACTTTTATTACAAATTTTGACTTAAAATGGGGAAGTACACGCTTCACCCTATAAGGCATAGAATATGATGTAGACCTACACAGAATTATCAAACTGAATTTTGACAAAAATCTTGCAAAACTGAAGTCTTTAATATCTGTCTGGAACAAAATAATACTTACACCAATAGATAAAATAGTTGTTATCAAAACTCTAATAATATCTCAGTTCAATCATTTGTTTATATTGCTTCCCAATCCTGATGACTTACATATTAAACAGATTAACAATACATTGTACAATTTTCTATGGAATGGTAAACCAGATCAGGTAAAACGGAATATAATTATAAAAAAACTATGAAGAAGGGGGGCTTAAAATGATACATCTAAAATGGTTCATAACTCTTCTTAAAGCAACTTGGATCAGAAGTATATATAGTAAACTAGGAAATTGGGGTATTGTTGTGGAATCGTTATTTGATATACAGAAATTAGCAAATATTGAAATTGAGAAATTGAAAGAAATATCAAAAAATTGTAAAAATGTATTTTGGAAAGATGTTTTAGATGCCTGGTATAAAACTATCAATGCAAGCAAAATATACAAAACAAATATTAGTGAAAATCCAATATGGGTTAACAGTGAAATAAAAACAGATCGAAAAGTTATCTTCAATAATACATGGTACAAAAAGGGGGTTCATTTTATCCACAACATTATTAAAAAAGATAGATCTTTATACAGCTTAGAAGAATTTTGTGAAAAAATGAACATTCGTTCTAATTTTTTAAGTTATCAGAGTCTGAAAATGCTATAGGTAAGTTTATAAGGAAAAACCGCCAAGCTTTCGATTCAGAAAATAATATTATGCTACCAAGTATACCCATAAATCTCAAGTTAATCCTAAGATGTGAGAAAGGAGCTCGTGAAATGTATACCATATCAATAAAAAATGAAGTTTAACCCACCGCCCAAAATAAATGGAATCAAAATTTCAATATATACAAATATCCTTTCAATACCTGTACCAGTTCCAAACTACAATGGTTACGATTCAGAATAAATCATAGAATCCTAACCACAACCAAATTTTCATTTCAAATTGGTAAATTCGATAATAATATGTGCACTTTTTGTAAAACTCATCCAGAAACAATAACACATATATTATGGGATTGTGAAAAGGTATCTAATATGATAGAAAATATAAGAATTACTATTATTGCTAAAAATCTTGGTCTTCGATTTAAAAAAACAGGATTTATCTTTGGCAAGCAAATTAATAAATATACAAAGTTCAACATAGATAACTTGTTATTACTTACGGTAAAACAATACATAAATAAATCAAAATGCCTTGAAATAGAACTCAATTTGAATGGTCTAAAAAATCCTATCAAATTCGAATTAAAAGCTCACAAAATTATAATATCTTAAATAAACATTAAAAATAAAATACAGATTAACACACAAATACATCACTGGTTGCAAATTTAAAAATTTAATAAATTAAATTTAACATCTTTCTGACCTAGGTTTCCCCTGTCTTTGCTTTGTCCCACATGTCTTGTCCTTTGTCTTTTGTGTAGGTGTGTCCATGTGTGAATTCTTTATTGTCTCTGTATATAGGTACATGCTTGATAAATATTTATTCATAGTGAATTAATTAGCAACAAATCTTAAGCTTTTAGAGCTTAACCAACAATCATGTACCATATGTGTTGTATTATGTCATGTAAAAAAATTGAAAATGAATCAAAAAAAAATGTCTAAAACAATCGAACAACTTATTCTTAATATCCAAAAAAGGCCACAAAGGCTTATGATCTTTTGAAAATAACATGCTTGAATATACCTACAGAGTTTGTTCAAATGACTTACTTTGACTTATATTCAAGGTAACAGGGGTAAAATATGTTTTAAAACTTTACGACTTCTTCTGTATAACCAAAAGGCCAAGGATGTTTACATTTGATCATAGAACGATGGAATGAAGTGCTACCAAGTTTATTCAAATGGATTACCTTGACCCATGTTCTAGGTCACATGGGTCAAACCACCTCTTCTGAATAACCAATAGGCCTAGAGTGATGATATTTGGCCAGTAGCATACTTGTAGAAAGGGCTTTCACCTTTGTTCAAATGAATGACCGAAATTGCCAGTCTGATGATATTTGGTTAGTACTATGCCGGGATAAAGGGCTAACAAGTTTGTTCAAATGAATGACGTAGACATATACTCAAGGTCACATGGGACAAATATGTTTAAAACCCTTACACGACTTCTTCTAAATAACCAAAAGGCCTGGGATGTTGTTATTTGCCTTGTGACATGCTGAAGTGAAGTGCTACAAGTACCCTGTCTGTTCAAATGAATGATTTGGACTGATATTCAAGGTCAAAGGGGTCAATTGTCTTAAAAAAACATTCCAACCACTTCTGCTGAACAACTAAAATGTTCAGGCTGATGATGTTTGGCCTGTAACGTGCTGGGAAGAAGGGCCATCAAGTTTGTTCAAATGAATGACCTTGACTTATATTAAATGTCAAAAAGGCTTCAAATTGGCTAAGGTGATAACAGTTGTCAAGGCGCATATAGGAATGAAGGGCTACCAAGTTCTAATGTTCTAATGAATGACCTTTTTTTATTTGTTTGCATATTGATATTCAGCTGTGAAATATTTAAACAACCTCTCCTTAAATAAGCAAGATACATAGGTCCATGTTATTTCGCCAGGAACATTCTGTAACAAAAGGGCATTTAAAATATTTTAAATGAAAGACCTTGACTTACATTAATTGTGACTTGCAAGTAAATAGTGACTGTAAAAATCATCTTGAAGAATTTTTTGACGATTTTGGCGTTCTGTCAGTTCTTCCTACTGAAATTTCATTTATCTTAAACAAAAAATAGTTTAAAATCTTCTACCGTGTACACAAAGCGTCCAGGGGAATAAGTTTAACCAGTGCCATGGAAAGGGTTATGACAAAGACTTTAAAAAAAGGGTTGTAATCATATGTCAAAATCATGGGGAGCATGACGAAATCAAGATGCAAAGTAGGATTATTTGTTCTAATGAGCTCCATGATGGATCGCATGCAAAAATGTTGTTTATTACGAAGTTACATATGAAACCAATTTTTTTCGTCAAGCAAAACATATCATCCCTGCAGGTCTGGGATTGAGAATAAATAGATTTGCTGTCACCCACTGCACAATCGTAAGTGGCGACATATGTGAGAATCCAACCCATGCAACTGAAAAATCCCTGCTGAATTAGCGATATGTTTTTGTACCCTACCGTCTTATTTTTTGTTTCTTTGCTTAGTAATGACTCTCATTTGTAAATCGTTTTGCTGTTGGGGAAATGGACAAACCAGTCATTCAATGTAGTAGTTACGATTACCTGCTTTATGTTTGGCATTTTATTCGATCGCAACACCTGGTAAACCCGTTGTCAGTATGATGTGTCCGAGCGGAGTATTTTTGCCTTCCGTATGGTATTTCAGTGAGTTAGTAATGTGAAATTACATCATGTAAGGTTCCCGGACATGTGGGAATACATGAAAATGGAAAGGCAGATCGTGCCTCGAAAGCGGTTTTACTGCTACTACCTGTTGATTTTATAGATGTTAGTCCGTTAATAACAAATTTGGTGATCAAAGATCAAAGTGGCACAGTAATTGAATCATTGCGAAGACAAAAAAAAATAGATCTGTAAAACCCAAAATCGGTGAATAGTATCCAAGTTGTAGAGAAAACCGCCGAGATGAGGTGGTCTTTGCCCTCTCCGGTTGGTAATTCATACAATACCCATTTTGATCTATAAAAACGCGAGGGCTAATCTCACTGTGCAGCATGTCACGATCCATTTATAGTAAAGCACTTGTTATTAGATTACATTGTCCTTTAGCCAACACGAAAATGTCTTTCGTTTGTATGAAAAATATTTACAATATAAATATATTTCAGATCAACCGAGATCAGATGCTGAAAACATCAGATGGAAAGGAAATGTCTGCAGTCACGGTAATATCAGCTGTGATAGCCTACCTGAAGGGTCACTTGATGGACACGATAAAAAATCGTGCAGTCGATGTTCCGGAGTCAGAAATCAGATGGGTGGTGACTGTTCCCGCTATATGGACTGACCCGGCCAAACAGATGATGCGAGAGGCAGCCGAAAAGGTAAAAAATGTTTCTTATAGCGACACGTGTATATTAAACAAAGAAATATAAATATAAAACTAAAATTGTCGTAACGATATACTGCTTTTGTAAACACTACATCATTTACTAAATGTTGAATGGATGCTCCAGTGGTTTTGCTGAAATTTTGATATTCTTTTCCTGTATTTATTCAGGCTGGAATTGTGAGAAATCAGTTAATCCTAGCGTTAGAACCCGAGACTGCATCGATGCTTTGTAAACACCTTCCCGCAGTTCATCTTCTCTCAGGAGACCGCACAGACAAAGTTGAAACATTCCGATCAGGATCAAAGTACATGGTTTTCGATGCTGGGGGTAAGATATAGTTTAGATTAGAAAATGTTATTGGATGACATACTTCTTAACTCCTACTTAACCGAGTAGGGTGTAAAAAGTGACAAAATTCGATTTCAAGATTTCTCCATATACCTGCTTTGATATATGATTGTATAATATACCATTAATTTTCTTTCGAGTTTTTTATCTGTTTAAATCATAATAGTTTATATTTTGCTTGACTTATCCTTAGGTGGTACCATTGATATCACTGTACATGAAGTGCTGGAGGGAGGATTTCTAAAAGAAATTCATGCAGCTAATGGCGGCGACTGGGGAGGGACCAAGGTGGACGAAGCCTTAGAGGAATTACTGGAGAGTATTGTCGGCAAGGCTGCATTTGAACACTTCAGGGCTAATGATATACCGAGTGTCATAGACTTGCACAGGAATTTCGAGGTAAAAAAAAAGACGTATACAGGTAAGGATGTTGGAACGAAAACAACGTTAACTGTTCCTCATTCGCTACTTGAATCATTCACAGCGTACAATCCAGGAAAACCTATAGCTGACGCTATTGAAATTAATCACTGTTCAACAGACGTTGAATGGAAGCGGAACAAAGTGCGTCTTTCTCAAAAGAAAACACTATCTTTGTTTGAACAATCGTTAAAGCACATCACCGATCACATGTCCGATATCCTCAGTAAACCGGAGGTTAAGGATTGTGAGGCTATCCTGATGGTGGGTGGATACTCCGAATGTCCACTTCTCCAGGACGCCATCAGAACCGTCGCCGGAGACATCCGTCTGATCGTCCCTAGTGATGCGAGCCTGGCCGTACTGAAGGGAGCCGTGATCAACGGACACTGTCCTGATACAGTGTCAGAGCGGATATGTAAATACACATACGGGATACATACACGTTTTTCATTCAGGAAAGATGGGTATGATAAATATCGGATCGTTGATGAGGATGGGGAGATTCAATGTGAACATTGTTTCAGCATATTGACCAAAAAAGGATTGCCTGTAAAGATTGGAATATCTTCAATAACTAAATCATTTACAGTAGGATATTCAGGAGCTAAATATATTACGTTCATAATGTATGCTTCAACAGCTGAAAATCCTAAATATGTTACTGACGACAGTTGTCAGAAGATAGGAGAAATGACACTGCAAATGCCCGATACATCGTTAGGCGAATACAGAGGAGCAAACGTAACGATGTACTTCGGGGGCTCAGAGATTGAACTCACTGCTGTAGACATACACACTGGACGTAAAATCAGTGCTTGCGTTGACTTCCTTGGCTAAAACAATTTTCTTTGCAACTCGCACGGAAGGGTTTTATGTCATCTTAACAGTAGTAACCTATCATTTAACATAGTTATTTACTTGTTTGAAGATTCCAAAAGACGTACTATTGTTCTGATAGTATTTTTGTTATAACACAATCAAATCACGTATTATTTTTCTATCATATTGTCCTGATAGTATTTTGGTTATAACACAATCAAATCACGTACTATTTTTCTATCATATTGTCCTGATAGTATTTCATTTATAACACAATCAAATCGCGTACTATTTTTCTATCATATCGTCCTGATAGTATTTTAGTTATAACACAATCAAATCGCGTACTATTGTTCTTTCATATTGTCCTGGTAGTATTTTGGTTATAGCACAACCAAATCATTTAACATATGAAGTGACAGGCAAACATGGACCTTCGTTTGGCTTGTTTTGGGAAAATGTAATTATGTATATAGTTATGCATATAGTAAAATCATCATGATTCCAATATTTGATTTGTACGTTGATCTCTTTTCAGTATGATTATTTGAATTAGCTTTGTTAATTGATGTCGTTATAAAAAAGTTAAGGTAAAATGAACCACTTTATCATCTGTAATCGCTAAGAGCTTTTCTGGAGAGCTGTTTAATCAACCTTGAGTATCAAAAAGACATTTTCCAATGGTAACGGTTGCATAATATTTTTTAAACATTCAATTTCTTTGTAGGGTGTTGTTGTTTGATGTTAATATGTTGGTCCTTACTTTAAGGACATGCTATTATTTCAGCTACATTATCATAGCAAATGTCGTCTATAAAGCACAAGACTTATGCCGTTCTGTATCATTTTCGTAATTATATATTATTAGAGTTCGAACTATAGCTTTGTTGACGCTATGATATTCTCTTGATTATTGAAGATGAATCAATGAAACAGATTATGTATATTCAAGGTGAATCAATGAAACAGATTATGTATATTCAAGATGAATCAATGAAACAGATTATGTATATCGAAGATGAATCAATGAAAACGGATTTTGTATATTGAAGATGAATCAATGAAACGGATTTTGTATATTGAAGATGAATCAATGAAACGGATTTTGTATATTGAAGATGAATCAATGAAACGGATTTTGTATATTGAAGATGAATCAATGAAACGGATTTTGTATATTGAAGATGAATCAATGAAACGGATTTTGTATATTGAAGATGAATCAATGAAACGGATTTTGTATATTGAAGATGAATCAATGAAACGGATTTTGTATATTGAAGATGAATCAATAAAACGGATTAAGTAAGACTTATTCCCCTGGTAAAGACATCATTCTCTCCTTTTGATGCTGTGCATTCACAATTTCTTGGTAATCATAGACATTGATATCAAATAGATATAGAACATTTGCCTAGAAAAGGTCTCAAACAATATTTTATGATGATGAAAATGACAAATGTAATCCTTCCTTACCTTTGGGATAAGACAGAAAAATCTCAGCCCTAGGGGTAAGATTCTTAAAAGTCTAGCTCAAATCTTTAATGAGGGCTAGCTAGACTTTTAAGAAACTTACCCCAAGGATTGAGATTTTTCTGTCCTATTCCTAAAGCGGGAAATTATTTTTTTCCCTCGTGAATAAAAAGAGTTTGTTTTTATAAAATGCAAACGTTGATTTCATATTTTCCATCAAATCGAAATTATCTTTCGTAATCTGCTATTTTGACGTGACGTTATACATTTTTTTATGGCAGGGGAATCCCGGTGTTTTTGCCCTAGGGTAACAAAGAAATATCTGTTCTTGACCAGAAGTATCGATATCTTAGTCTAATAAGGGAGAAAATAACTTATGTTTAACAATATTTCAAGAGAAAACTATCAGGCTTATAAGTAGTATTACGTTATGTTAGCAAACAGCTGTAGACGCCATGATGTTTATTGAATGCTTTTAATAAACTTAGAAATTTGATCAAGCATCAAACTTTTTCTATTTTCCTTCTCTGCAAAACATTTCAGAAATAAGGTCTCTAGTATAATTGTTAATAAATCATTTCGTCATTATAGAAGGCCAATATCGGAAAACAATTGCTTGATTGGGGTAACGCTTAGGTCATTTGAAGGTAAGTGCCGGGAAAGACGACACTCCTGAAGGAAAGAGGAGAATGAAATAAGGATTCCAACGTCCTCCGAAGAGAGATTCAAAAGGAAATCCCCGATTCTGAAACGATCTTTAAGTTGAAAGTTTAAATGGCAAGTGTTTTACCGTGCTTCAATTATCGTTAGATACTTATGAATCAATATGATTGTGTTAAAAGGCCAATACAGATGGAATTCTTGGACTCTCATACGGAATTATCACTGAAAGAGATTGACATGTATGTCGTATATATCACAAATATCATATCGACACTAAGCAGATAGAGACCACGGGATGTAGGAAGTAATCGATACCGAAGAAATCCATTGCAAGTGAAAGATGCCGCTAATACTGATTAATCATGGTAAAATACAAATTTAAAGAAAGTCATGTTTAAACTTGTTTATTTGTTACAGATCGATAGACTTTTATTTCACAGTTCCAGTGCAAAGGCAGTGTTCTTAGAAAGTTGAATTTCGTATCAAATCAATCACAGTATACAGGATGCAAACGTGCATGAATGTCCCCTAGAACTACTATAGTTTCTTTGTTTCTCGTTAATTATACCCGTAAGTATTTGGAAAACAGTTTTGATTACCCACTATTGCGTAACTTTTTTAATGTTATAATATTTTTCATTCTTTGAATAATGATATCATGGCATACGTTTACTTGTTCGGAAACAGGAATAATGCATTTTCAATGGAAAGCATAGTATGAATATTATGCCAAACAGAAGTTCCCAAACTCGCGATTGTCGGTCATCATGTTCATTTTACTCTCATGAGCTAATTTTATAAAGAAAACATTCTGTAAACTTTGTGTCTCTATACGATTTGAAAATTAGTAAAATAGAGATAAAGGTGATGACCAAACAATCATTCGTTGGGGAACCTCTTTATGATCAGTAACACAACATCCGAGGGTTATGCTGTAAAGACATCGAGACTCATGAACTCACATTCATGGGTGTTGAGCTCGATCACTTCATTGAATGGTGATGCGACATAGGATCAAAATCACTGGACTTGCGAAAAATAACAACCACACGATAACTTAACAACAGTTACCACGTAGACATCAAAACAAAACAAAGAAACAATGAAAACCAGTGTCCTAAAAAGGTGTACCGAAAAGAGTAGACTTTCTTTTACCAAATCTGACACCGTTAAATACACAAAAGTATATAGGTCAGCAAGCTGTAACTAAAAAATAAAGCAACAAGCGAAAATAAAGTATGAGCAGGCACTATAGTTGCTCTTGCATGTCACATTGGGAAATGAACCAAAGTAATATATTAGTTAAATTAAACTGTTAAAACATGTATAAAATACACTTCAAGTATTGATAACTGAATGCACTTAACGTATGCCGTACGGTAAGTAAGTAGACCAATCTACCTCACTAGCGTTATATCCTGAATAAATACAACTTTGTTCTGAACTTGAATATACATAGATGTTTAACTATTTAAAAGAAAGAAAGAAAATAATCGATATTATAACTTTTAATGACTTCACGTTCTTTGTCTATTAACGCACCAAACCATTATTACTAACCACACCTGTTATTTGAGCTTTATGAAAATCATTTTTCAGTACAATTTAACACCATGCCTTGTCTCGAAATCGGAAAAGGCATTGTTGATTTTATGTCGTGTACACCTTCTATAATCCCATATAAATGGTCTGTATTGATCGTGATATGCGTTCTGAATAACGTCGACAGTATGATACTTGAATCAACCTCTTTCAGTGATAGATCTAGTGCTATACACGTTAGAGGTGTATAAGCACTTGGTAATACCGAGAACAGGTACTGTATAGTTCGAATTATTCGCGGGGAATTTATTTATGCCATATTCGTCATCTTAGACTGCGCGATATTAAATACTCTGCGAACATTTCTATAGTCTTTTTCAGTCGCTGTTGTTATATATTCGAACACGAAAATGTTAACAAATTGTTTGTTAACCTGTTTAGTCTGCATGCCAAAACACAGTCGACCACCCGACCTTAAATGACCAAAGCAGTTGCAAGCACGTTAAACTTTAAACAAACGAACACAGTCGACATTGTTTCAGCCAGCCGTCCAGGCTGTGATAGAATCGATACCATTTTGAAATATTTGTCAAGACAAAATGTTTTGACACACTTAGGATAGCCAAATAGAATTGTAGGGAAATATGTACGATGGCAAGGCGAAGTGTTGCGTAGCAACTGGGGACTTTGAATCAGTTAAAGTTTAAGGTCACATTGAGTTCAAAGGTCAAATGAATTGTCCGGATCATAAATTCTTAATCGTTAATATAGAGCTTAATGAAGGTTCAGTGATAAATGTAGGATGGGAAGGCGGTGTTGAATACCACTTTCGGCTCTGTACACCCAAGTGCAATGCCTCATTAAATTGAAACATGATTATTCCGAGCTAAACTTTGTATCGTAAAAGGCTACTAAATGTAGCATTGAGGTCGTTCACTATACACGGTTATGTAATGTAAATGCTCTGAATGGTGCTAAGATAACGTCAAGATATGTGTTAAGTCATATGATAATATTGACCTCTGATCTTTCACGTTAATTTCAAGTGAAAGCAACATATAGGAAAATTGATTACATAAAATATTCAGATGTCATTTGTTAGTGTAGCTTTTAATTTACGCAGTATAGTGTTAAAAATTATGTTACCTTATTTGTTAAGCTCCTTGAAGGGAAACATAAGACAGGTCCTACTGTATGTCACGGTATATATTACTGTAAGGATCTCTGTCCCACTTAGTTGTGGCTTTACCTACATACAGTAATCTCCCTGAATTTCTGTTAGGATACAAACTGTAGCAAAGTTGGGTATAACACTTCCGTTGACTACGTATCACAGTCGGTTAGTGAGACGGTATAAGTACCTGATGTTCTGGGTAAGAATCCCAGTCTAGTGCTTTTTGAAATGAGAACACTGTTGTTAATTATATTTTGTTTTCTTTACTTTCCTTAGGGGAATCCTTAACAAAAACAACGTAGTTATTTCCATGCATGCATGCAACCATACACTACATTGCTGTCTTGTTGATAGGACGTTAAACCATATTAACTAACGCAAACCAAATAAGGTCACCCTTTTTGGGACCATAATCCATAAATTATAATGTTATAATTTGAAAGATAAACGAAGCTCGCCCATTAATCAGGCATACCCGTGACTACGGTTGTCCAGTGCTGAATGATAACACCATTGATAAACAAGATCGCACAATGTTTACAGTGTCATCACTTTAACGGCTGTTTATCTTTCCTCGTGTCAAACACATAAGCGAACGACAAAAGCGTCTGCTATCATGTACAATAACATGTCGGTCAAGTACAACTGTATATGATTGTATCATTTATATCTGTAGACTTTACAGCTATTTGTTGGGTGTTTTTTTTCTCGAGTGAATATCCTAACCTATTTAAATTTATTTAAAGCAAGAAATGTATCTGGAGAATCATGGTCGGGTTATTTTTATGTTCTATCTAACGAGGGAATATTAAAAAAAACTTCGTTTGATGAATCCCAAGGTAATTGTCTTGATTAGTCCTTACTACATTAGCACACATACACACATTTTTGTCTAAACATGGAGGCACGTCATTAAATGATAATCAACTGTTAATAGGACAATAATAAAATAATCAAACGTTTTATTACATGAAGCAAACCATACATAAACCTATGCTTGTTATGAACCTCACTAGAGCAACATACTCTGTCTCTTGCGTACACACACGTTAGCACGCATACACTACACATATGCACGTACTTAAATGACATTAGCTGTAAATAGGACGTTATACAAAATCTAACCAAACAAAACCTCACTTCACTTATCACTGATGGACATATATATATATATATATGTCCATCAGGTACAACGTTGTGGATAGATTATACATCAGCTGTGATATGATTACACATGTCCTCCACACGGCGAAACTGTTGGGAAGATCAGGTAAGTAAATATATGTAACAAGAAACATTCATTTACTTTGATGTGCGAAGTTTACGAAATTAAAATATCGTTATTTTAAAACGATGCTTTGCATCCGATAATTAGATAACAGTGGTGTCAAGTCAAGTAAGTCACTTTCGCAGGCACAAAGACGGAAGCAATCATTTGGGTTTTTCTCTGTTTTAAACAGCTAGTGAAATGTCTTGCCGTTTTCAATAATTATCGGATGAGTTTTAAATTGAATTTCAGTACAATATAATCAGGTCCTATGAAACAAACCTCAAATAACACTTCAACAGATAAAAGCCCTGATTGATTAACCAATTCAAAATAAATAGCATGTCTGAGATATACCTGGTTGTTCAATAAGTGCTGTTCCCAGATTTCAGACTTGTGATTACCATGGTTAACAGATCAAAGACGAATGATTTTGAACAGAAAATGTGACACCTGAAGATTATTGTGTTTTTTTGCTGTTTTTATTTATTTTTAAAAATCTATCTGCAATAAAATATCACATAAATGGTAACAGAAATACGCACGTTTTAGCCTTGTTTTATTCGGTGGATTTTTCACAATATTTACACATGTCCTGATTACAAACAATAGACTTTGTTAATAGTTAGATTTTGTTGTGTAGATCCATAAAAATGCAATTTTTGTTTTGCCAATACAGTATTCTACATTATGTATTTGCTAATTTTGGTGTTGTTTCCTTTTAATCTGGATACTTGTAGAACATGGGTGATTCATTGTACAAAAATACCAACCATTGCTCCTCCATACTGCTTCATATGCAGGTGAAGACCAAAGTATGTCACTGTGACCTATATACCAAGATAAGT